GGTTTTTGTCAAATTCTCGGGTTCGGTTGCGGTTTCGGGTTTCGGTTTAGGCAGTCGGGTTCGGGTTCGGGTAGAAATTTATACCCGACCGTTCGAGTTCAGGCAAAAAAAAATATCCGATCAAAATTTCGGGTAGGGGTATATCCGAACCGAACCCGACCCGTTGCCATCCCTAATAATACATGCAAACATAATATCCGAGGGAAATGATCGGCACCATGGGCGTGTAGGGCCTTCAATTATCGCCCACCGAGAATGGAAGACTCCGAAGGCACACTCCACATCCACTACAAAATTTTGATAAATCTGCGACAGACAAATTCTGTCGCAAATCCTTTATTTTTGTCGAGTTGTTTAATTCAAAAGAATCAAAAATTGAACAATGCAAAAAGTACCACTTACGATAACCAAAATTATAAGATAAGTTAAGAAGTTTTTAATTAAAAAAACTTAAAAAAATCCTAGAATCATATGAAATAAAAAAATTTCTAGAATCATATAAAATAAAATCTTAGAATCAAATCAAAATTTCTTATGATAAGCTTATATAATTAATAAAAAAAATAGCATACAAAAAATGTATGATAAATTTCATAGAATTAATTTAATCCACTTTAACTATCAAATTTAACAAAAAAAATTTAGCAAAAATAATACAAACTATAAACCCAATACTTTTTTTAATAACTTACACTAAATCAAATTATCATTATCATGTAATCACAAAAAAAATGATCTAAGTAAATTTCACACTTCAAATCTTGAGGAGAAAGAATTAGGGTTTAACCTTGGTTTGGGCCGGCGAAAAGTGGACAGCGGTTGGGCGGGTGGTGGGTCAGACATCGTCTGGCGTGTGGCGGCGAAGGAGTGGAGGTCGGCGTTGAACACGAGGGCTGGAGGCGTATGGTTGTGGCTTCGAAGTTAATCTGAAAGAATCGAGATAAGCTTTTAATTTAATCCCTGCGAAGGAACCTAGTCCGTCGCAGAGTCCGTCGCAAATATTGTATTTTAAAAGTTGATGGTCAAATATCTGCGACAGATCAATGGAGCCGTCGCAGATCTGCGACGGATTCAAATTCCGTCGCAGATTTTGTAAAATTTTGAAACTCCTTTTTCGCATCGCAAAATCTGTCGGAATTTGTGACGGAATAAATCCGTTGCAAATATGCCGTCGCAAATTGAACTAAATCTTGTAGTGATCTTTCCATGCGGGCTTTTGTTTTTGTGCGAACAAAGGTTCTTTGGATTTATCAGACACATGATTGTTTTCACAAACACTGGCCTACATGGATAGATCTCATCCTCTAAATAATATCTCATGTTATATTGGTGACCATAGGCAATGAATTACATGACTGGCACATGTCGAGTGCAGACATTATTGAATAAAGGGGACCCATTCAACACATTCAGATCGTTGTTTGAATCCGGGGGCTCCAAAGTAAGCATGCTAAATCCACAGATGATGGTCGGCAATAGCCTCGAGCACGACCGCCAGGTGTAAGCCCTTGTAATTGTTTGTGAATGCACTCCACCATGCCACGGAACAATTTTCCACTTCCAATGCATGCAATCCATGCTACCAATCAGCCATGGAAACCCGTGCACTTGCTCGTGCATATTGACTAACATTTGAACACCTTGGATAGTCAGCTGTCTCAAGTACGTGTCCTTGAAAGCTTCAATGACACTTCAGAAAAATGCTGCAAGCATTCTCGGCCTGTAGAGTTCCCGATGTGGAGGTACTCGTCGAACATGTCAGCACAGGTGCCGTACGCAAGCTACCTAATCGCAAGTGTGCACTTTTGTAGAGTGGATAGGCCCTCCCAGCCAACATTGTCTAGGCGCTGTTGGAAATAGACATCACGATCTGTGAGTGCGTCTGCGATTCGAACGAATAATACACAGCGCATTTAGAAGCTCTGATGAAATTATTCATCAGAAAAATGCGGAATGTCAGAAAAATAATCTTCAAACAAACGGCTAGCGGCCTGCTCACATTCCCGGCGAATGTACACCTGCGAACGTGGAACTAGCAGACCCACGTTGAGTTATACGGGGTCACGCGACCCCACGAAAATTTTGTTATTTTATATATATACCTATAGATATACATACTCAATATTAATATATACCTAAAAATGCATTATAGACTAGTTTAAGGAGTAGCCTGAATGGAAAACATGTCCTCTGGCATCTTAAGCAACTTGTGTTCCAAACTTTCTGGCCTTAGGGTCCTTTTTTTGGCTATTTTGGAATCTTCACACAAGGCTATTTTGTGTATTTTTTCTTCCTCTTTAAAAGGGAGTTTTTTTCTTCCTCTTTAAGTTTCTTAAAACATGAATTGGATATATAAATTTGTTATTTATAAATTGTGAACTTTGAAACATTTTTTTTTTCAATTTGTAATTTGTGAATTACATCTATATTTTGCATGCATTTTTCTTTTGTTTTTTCGGAATCTCCATACTTGGCTCGTTTTTTGTGTATTTTTTGGTCTTCACTCTTCAAGAAATTATTTTTTTAACATGCATGATTGAATGAGAATTGGATATTTGGATTGTTTAATTGTGAATTTTTAAATTTATTCTTTTCAATTTGTAATTTATGAATTACATTTTGTAACATTGTGAATATGTTGAAATGATTGGGTCTTGTTGTAAATTTATAATGTTTGTAATTATATTATTTAAATTTCAATATAGGAGGCAAAGATATTATAATAAATCACTTTCAAAATATGAAAATTAGACTTTCAATTATGTATTTTATATTTTTTAAGAAAGACTATTATTAATGTGTGATTGTTATGGTATTTGTGAACTTTAATATTATATATTATGAAGTATTTTTATTTAATTTTAGCTTGATATGAATTTTTTAAAATGCGATCCCATGGTTTAAATGTTCTGGATCCTCTCCTGTGGAATAGGAGGAGTAGGACTCGCCACAGCTTGTCGAGCGTTTTCACGTTGCATCATCACTTAAATGTAAGGCAAACACTCATGGTACGTCACAATTAGTATATCCATGACCTCATCATCTCGAGGAAGAGCTATTTTTTGTGATTTGAGAGAGATAAAGAGAAATTAAGAAAATAGGTAAATTGAGAGAGATGAGAGTCGATCGATTGAAGTGAAAGACGTGTTGAACTTATAGGGTTGAAAATTTTAAAAAAATAAAAATTAAACATAATAACACCGCGGCAGACCACTGCATTGGGCGACCGCTGCGAAATTGCACCGGGTTTTCAGTGCGGCTCAACGCTGGCAAAGGGGCATGTGACGTGACAGTTTTTTGCGGCGGAAGTGCTGCAAAGGGAGTGCGGCACGGCAGGTTGCTGAGAGGAGTGCCGTGCCGCATAAAAACTCCCCCATTGTCATGCGCTTGAATTGAATTTTGATAATTGAAACATATTTTTGTAACAAATTTAGAGAAGAAAAAGAGTAAGCGAACCGTATCCACAACTATAAAAGTCATTCACATTCGCACACTCCATAGAATCAATGTGGGCTCCGAAACGGAGAGGATAAGAAAGGAAAGGGGTTAAAATAAAGCTGTGGGAGTATTCTGTAAGACTGTAACTCTAATCCTTTGTTTTTGTTTAGCTTTCGCCTTACTGTCCGCTTCTCGCAACAACTGTTCAACCA